TCGCCATTCTCATGCGCTGAAAAGCCCAGATATGGGTTCCCATGAAGAGGTTCCGAAAAGATGAAAAACTGGAAAACGAAATTCTGCCGAGACACTGCTTCTAAATTTCTTTTTAATGAATAAATGCATGTTTAAGCAAATTGAGTAATTGAGCCTCAAATTGAAATTGGACACTAGTTCACTTTCCCTCGCTTACCTGGTCTCAGAAGTTAGTCTTTTTCACAGGTCGAGCAATTGCGCGATTTACTCCGTCATCTTGCGACGGATAACAAAAAGCTGCGCGAGGAATGCGCAAGATTGCTCAAGGAACAGTGCAATATAAGCTCGGACTCTACCGATCGTTCTGCTGGAAATGGTAATCATTCAGCCTTTATGTTATACATTTTTTGCATATTGAAATGGCTTCATCTTGCAGAATCTGGGGTGAAAAATGCTCTCGCTCAAGTCTGCGGAGCTGAGGGAGACTATGAGGAGAAGGTATGATAGATAGCCTATTTGTTATTTGTTAGCTTTCTCAGCTCCTGCAGGTCCCGCAGGACTGTCCTCTTTACCCTTTAATCATTTTGGAGGCGTCTTCTTTGGGTGTGGATAACAATTTACATCTCTTTCTAACTTGAAATTTCAGCAGAGGCAGCTACTGCGCGATCTGCAATCGTTCGCCGCAATGAAGAATGGAAATGCGAGCTTGCTGAATATGTTAGAAGGTAACATTTGTTTTCTTATTTCTTTTTTCTTGTGTTTGACAGTTTTTGCCAAATAGTTGCAAGAGCCCAATGATAATCTCTTACAGATGCGTGTCGAGAGGGGGAAATTCACATTACCGATGCTGACTTCGGCTCATCTACGACGGACAGTCCATCTCAGCTCCAAGCTCCCCAAGGCGACTCTGCTGCTATGGACAATTTACCGCTGGTGCGATTTTTAGCTTTTATCTCAGATGATACGCCTAATCCTGAGATTTTAGTTGAATGCCTCCATCAACGAATTGATGAATTTGTCGCTCAACACATCGAAGGATATTGCTAACTTCAAAGTGAGTAAACAGATTCTACTGGGTTCAAAGATATATAGCTTGAAATTGCAGGAGCGTCTTAGCTTGTTCCGCGGTGTGATGGAAAGAATTTTTGAAACGCTAAGAACTTCTGGTGTGCTTCTGGAAGAAGTGTTGGAAAAGGTAAGTGCCCGTTTTATTGCGGCAAAATTCGCAGCAAATGTATTTTATCGGAACACCTGCATATAGTATGAAAGTTTTATCATTTCCAAACCGTGACCTCAAGTCTTCATCGACCGGTATTTCAAAATCAGATCCATAATCTACAGGTGTTGCGATTGTTTTCTTTGTGCGTATCTCCTGATCTATGCCAATCTAAGCCTCACCATTTTTTCGCCTTTTCCATAGATCCGTGTCCCGTGAGCGCTCGTTGAGTGCATGCGCAGGACTTTACTGCTATGTTGCATATGTATACTAACTAAAATGGTTTAGTTTGGCTCCGAATCAGACGAACATAGAGCACTCGCCGAAAAGATTCGAGAAATGAAGTTCGTGTGGAATACCTATCTGAATGAGACAAATGAGATTATGGAAGCAATCAATGGTATGCAGTAAATTCCAAATCATGTCGTGTAATCACCGGTTTCATCTACAGATACGCAATTCAATCTCAACGAAGTAGAAACGAAGATGATAGCCTTCGAAAAGTCCATTCATGAAGCTTCCTTCCGAATGGACATGTCCATGGTCCA